CAACTTGTGAGGACACTGAATATTTTCTTCTCTCTTTCTTACATGTTTATATTGTACGCTGAATCAAATATAGAGTAGAGAGCATGAATCACGGACGCTATTCGGTTAAATAAACAACAGAAGTTGAATAAATTTATTTTTCTCTCTTCTGAAAGACATGCAGAAGTCCATTCCAATATGTGCATGAATAGCATAGGGGTGCTGTGATTATTACAGAATTTAAGTCGAGATATTCTTGTAAACAAATTTACGCTATAATAATAATATAATAAGATACTTATGAGGGCAGGTCCCTGGCTGATACTCTCTGATTTCGATTATCTTTTGTCGATAAATACTATATGATGTCCTAGTCTTAACTTCCAAAGGATTTGGTTGTATAGTCCTTCTTTCAAAAGTTATGCATTTTTTAAGATTGGTCACTGGAGATCCTAATTCAGTGTTTTGAGATTTTTGAGATCAAGACTTCATTCTAAAACAAAAATAAGGTAGTATTTGGAATCGGCGTCAAAAACTGCATCAGATAATGTGCCTTTGAAGTTATTTAGAGACAAAAAGTTTTCGATTAAAAATTGCTCGGACTTCAAAAATGAAAATCGAAAAAAGTGTCGAAAACTTTTTGTCTCTGAATAACTTCAAAGGCACATTATCTGATGCAGTTTTTGACGCTGATTCCAAATACTACCTTATTTTTGTTTTAGAATGAAGTCTTGATCCCAAAAATCTCAAAAATGATTTAAGATTGCTTTGTTCACGAGATATAGAGGGGGCAAGAAATGTCACCACAAATGTATCATCCTCATGACGTTTAGAATTGGGTTTTTTGCACCTATAGAAAGGAACTTAGAAAACTATGTTTTGGTATGAACTCATTCTTCGGAACACAGGCTAACTTTTTCACCCATTCACGGATTTTAAAACCACTCCGTCGGGATAGGACTCTTGGTTTACACGTGAGACCCAATGGCCTGCTTTTCTCTCTGTGCTAAATAGAGATAGCTGATTAAGATCACCAATAGCAACAGAATTTGTGTTGAGAACACACAGTAAAAAATAATGTGTGTAACGAAACGTGTCGCAGTTCTTATGACAGAAATGTGATAGAAAAGAATGTGTCACGGAGTAAGCGTACTACTGGCTGCTGATACAGATGTTGTTGAAGAGTTAGGCCATTCTGATGTACCAGCTTGATATGTTCTGTTACAATTATTTGTGCCGCATAGACACAATCGGATTCCAGACGAAGTTGGGACAGCCGTAAAACCCCATATATTAGTCGTTCCCTCGTATATACTGTTTACAGCCCAAAATAGAACACCTGATATTAGACTTACAGCATAGTTAGGTTGAACTACACTTCTCGTCAAGTTTTATGTATTCAGTCAAGTGCGAATAAGAGCTGATGCGAAACTGGGCGCATAAGGAAAATCAAACATCGGACCACGCGACCTGTTACTATAAAAGCCTCGTTGATACCGTGTTTGTGCGTTAATTTTATTGTGTTCTCACGGTTTCTTAGATCTCCGTGCCCCTTTTCCGATGCTGATTAACGCTGACTGTGTATTCATCGTTTCAGAGACAAAAAGATTATGGTCCTCACAAATCAAACTGCAGTCTTTGATAAAGTTATTATTCTGTTTTATAAAGCTTATTTGCAAGATCTTTCCACAAAGTGGAGGAAGAAGAGAAGTCGAACAATGAATGTTTTACGTGTTGGACTTCAGTTTTCAATTTTTAAAAAAAATAAGTGCTTATTCTGTACTTCCTTTTTCGTTTATTTGTTGTGACAACTGACTGAATTCTTTTTATAATAAATCAGACAAGCGTTTAGGGCATATACAGAGTGGAATGAAATCGATCAGTCACTCCTTTTTTCTCCTTTACGTTACTGCTTGTGTTTCAAAGTGATGAAGCTACTTTTACTCACAATATTCTGCATCCTATCAACCAACTCATTCCTGCTTAGACCATCGACTCTGAGCTCTTATACTAGAAGAAATATAGGATGTAACCGTCGGTTGACACATGTGTATTTAAATGGCACATATCAGTATCAATCATCAACTCAGTATTTAAATAGTACTAATGATCTATGTGCTCTAATGCTGCAAACTGTAACAACAAATGGTATCACAATTATCTATACGGATATGGCAGCAATTAATTATGCAAATGAATATCGAGATATGTCAATTAACAGGTTTGTATGTAAATGATATCGATAAATTCACATTCATGTCTCTCTGTTTGTAGATGCGGTTTCAGTTCATCAATGGATATTGGCTACGGTTCTTGTACACCTCGTCCTTACGATTTAGCTTCCTCTATCATTCTTTGTATTTGCTCAACTGATTACTGTTCAGAAAGTCTATCGACCTGTCAAACATCTGTGATTCAAGCTAGGTCTTCACCACCAACTCCTCTACCAATTGTTTATCCAACTTTAACTAGCACTGTCTCATGGTATGATAATACGTATACCGCAGCTAATACTAGTCGTTTCTCATGTGGTTCGCATGATAATTTAACGTTGCTTTTTTCACAAAACTTTCCAGTTAATATTACAGCTTGTAATATCTACGTTCAGACACATACAATTCTCTGCAATTATTGGGATATTGGTGGTTACATTGATCAGGGTGCACTTTTTGATGATATGGCTATTGTAGTTCAACGCAACTATGCTAGAAGTCTAGTATCAGGTGTCTTTTGGGCTGTAAACAGTATATACGAGGGGACGACTAATATATGGGGTTTTACGGCTATCCCATTTTCGTCTGGACTCCGATTGTGTCTATGCGGCACAAATAATTGTAACAGAAATGGAACATGTCAAGCTGGTACATCAGAATGGCCTAACTCTTCAATAACATCTGTATCAGCAGCCAGTAGTACTGTTGGCAGCAGTGTACTATCAACAGTGCCTAGCAGTACTCCTTTGAGCAGCAGTGGAACTTACACTTACACTACTCGATCATCTCAAACTGCTGTCTTAGTTACCTCTACAACTGTCAGAACAACTTCTCAAGCTTCTAGTATGTAAACTGTGGTTCTATTGAATTAATGTTGTCTTTTAATGTTCTGTTTTAGGCGTGCAATTTCAACCTATTCTTTTCCGGGATCTGTTACTCATTACGGTTATAATCCTATTTTTTCTAGACTGAAGTACCTGCGAGGGGTATCAAAAGTCAACAATATTTAAACTACGGACACCCGATAAACGTCTCAACATCGTCTGAATATTGATTCTTTCATTTTTCTATTTCAAAAATTCTTCTCAGTGTATTATGCACAGTTTATGTTTTTAATAAATACATTAAATGTTTTTACTATTTTTTTAGTAAATGTATTCATAAAGTAAACTGATTTATATATTGCACTCAAGGTCTGTAATTATTTTTTGCGTAAAAGAACTAGAACATGAAAAAACCACTTCTACTTTTATTTCCACTTTATATTTCTAATTGAAAAGAAAAGTTACAAAAACTATCACGAACTCTCTTATGTTTTGAAAAGTACGCTAAGTTGCAATACAGTAATAATTGCACGATGCACCAGTTAAGTGCATGGAGTTAACTTAAGATCGTGCGACTAAGTTGTGCAGTTAAATTGAAGTCGATCTTAAGTTTGATGTAGTGCAACACTTTAGGTTCGTCAACTGAACTTTGTCTCGAACTTAGGAGCCTATACGGACGTGCTTTTGTACACAAGGACGGGTTCAAGTATTGGACGTCTTTTTTTATCTCAGAACGGGTCATGGCAAGGGCCGTTCTGGACGGGCAGCAGTACGCTCAGCACCCGTTCCACACAGGAACGGGTCGAGTACGGGGCGTCTCCCTGTGTGTCAGAACGGGTTCCAGTACGGGCGACCTTTTCTGTCAGAACGGGTCATCCAGCCGGCCGTTCTAAAATGGATATCACGAACAGCCTATACTCCTTGATCAGAACGAGTATAAGTATGTGGCGCCCTACGACGTCCTTCAGAATGACCCATACTATTTCAATTAGAACGCATTAAAGTACGAAAATATTTAAAAGTACGCGAGCAGAATCCCGTACTTATTTTTAGTACGGAGTTCGAACTCCCGTTCCACGATTTTTTCCACCTCTTGGGTGATGCACTTCAGAGGATGCACTTTTCATTTCCGTATTTTGGGTACAAACAGACAGACAACCATTTTGTAAGACCCTAGACCAGGGATGCACCAAACCCAAAACCATATTTTGGATTTGTACCCAAATAGTTTGGATTTGTGTCGGATTTGTGTTTGGATTTGATGAAGATTTGGGGTTTGTAACCCCAAACACTTTGGGTTTGACTTGGTCACCAAATCCAACGAAAGTATTATTATCGCTAGTAAACTGCTAGACATATGCCCATAATAAATTTTGAACTTTTCGACCGAGATTTTTGCGGAAAAATGAAAGTTGTCCAAAAATCCTGAAACATATATCAGCCAATTCAGTTTTTGATGCTGATTCCAAATATGACGTTGGTTTTGCAGAAAACTGGGAGTTTGACAATGAAAACTGCAAAATGCAAGTGAAATTCCTTGTGTTTTGCCACCTGTATCAAAAAAATTAATTTTCTCAACAACGGAAAAATATTTTCCAAAATCGATACGTAACTTTTTTCGTGCTATTAGGGCGAGTAGAATGATATCAAAATATTGGCTTCATCTCCTATCTAGAGAGACAGACGAACAGCATTGCGTTCCGTTCTATTTCTTGCTTCTCCTCTCTTTGTTTATTTTTCTTAGAACTAAACAACAAGAAACAGAGAGAGGAGAAGCAAGAAATACACAGTTTGATAGAGAATTAGCGATTGCAGCTTTTGCTTTCCAGAGATATATAGACCCATTAAGGAATAAAAAAATCCTATTACTCCTAAAAGTAGAATGAGCAACAGAGCGAGATTTTCCTTTTTATAGTATTCCTTTCATTCTGCACTGCATGATTAAAGTATATATTAATAATATTAATTGTATATATCAATAATTCAAGTACATAAAGAACGAAATATTCAATGGACAACAATGACATAGAATCAGGTAAGGTGCACATAACTCAGAGGAGAAGCGCAATTTTTTTTGAATAATTTACATATGGTTGGATAGAGCTCGTCCAGCTGCATCCGAATATTGTGTTTCAGCTTTTGAAAAATCGTTCTTCAGGTTTGTCAAAAACGAAAACCTGAAATTTCCACTCAAAAGCGAAAGTTGTCGAAAAATTCTCAAATGCATATCGTTCCATTCAGTTTTTGATGCTGATTCCAAATATGATATCAGTTTCGCTAAAAAGATGAAATCTGATGGAGAAAAGGGCAAACTACGATCTCATTTACTTTTGACTGCCGTAATCGAATCATTACAACGCACCTGTGGTATTTCAAAATCACGGTTTCTTTTCTTAAAATTAACCATTGGAAAATTCTTGTGGATAAATTTAAAGTCAAACGTTGAACAAGTTGTACCACTGCGCTATCAAGATCCATCTTTATGCGTTTAAGTTTCAGATAATTGTATTTCCTAGGAATCTGACCATTTTGCTGGATGAAGTTTCCTGGACGGGACTATTCTCTAGTACCAAATAGAATGAGTTTCAGCTGAAGTTTTTCCATTGAATATTCTGACTTTTTCTGAGTTTTACCCAAATTTTTTTCAAACACTTTATGCACATCTTATTCGGATTTGTTCATTATATAAAATAAACATGTGTCTAGTTTGAGATTTATTAATTTGAACTACTCTATAAATGGTTTACATGAAAAAAAATCGTGTTTTTCAAAAAATATTTCATCGTGATTTCAACGTCCATACAAATGGACAGTGAATTTACGATAAAATCTCTCCAGGGAAGAAAAAATAATTCAAATACTGAATCAGATACTGAGCTATCTGGGATCATCGGTTTTCACTCAACAGACAAGTCAAACACTGGTTATAATTCAGTTTCCAATTCTCTTTCAAGTAAAACTATAACTCAAAATAAAGTGGCGGACAAAAATTTAAGACCATTTTCATTTTTGAATTTTCGCGTGAACTAAAGTAGCCAGAATAAACCCGAGAACAGATTTATGGAGAGAACACCTTGGAGTATCTAAGCATGTACGAAGAAAAATTTTCATTTAAGTTTAACAGGTTTAAAAAAACTGCAATTTTAAAAAGTTTAAAACTCTTAAATTATCAGCTTTTTTAAATCCAGTTTAAATTTCATTTTCAATCATTCAGTAAGATAGAGCAGACTTTTCTCGTCAAAATGAGACGTTGCACGACTCGGTACGACCTTCCTTCAATGAGTTACGAATTTTTGTCGGAAAGCACCATACGACTTGTCCAGCTAACTCGAGACCTCGTTGATTAAGTTTTTGTTTCAAAACGAGACAAAACGGTTAACGCGATTTTGTAGAGCGCATTCGAAGGTATAGGAAAATATACTTCGAGGTCATGTAGCACGAAAACACCCTTTTCTTTACAATTTTTCTAAACAAGTACAGAATTTCATCGAATAAACTCATAGATCATAGACAACTTTTAAGGCTTTATCTAACGCACCACTTAGTATTTTAAAAAGATTCCATCTTAAGGCAGTTTTTCGTGACGCTGTGACAAAAATTTAATCTTTTGGTGATTTTCGCAGAAAACTAACTAGCTTCCAAGCAAATGTCAAGGTTGCCTTTCACTAGTATAAGGCAACCCTGACATTTAAAAATTGAACTATTGCATGAATGAATCGCGTAATTTACTTGTCTTTTCTGTACGGCTATACCGATTATGTCTTTTTGTTTGTTCACGACTGAAATGCAATGTACATGATTTCTTAATTTCGTGCAGAAAATGAAAGGAAATTATGTATTTCTTTCCCTATAGTCGTCAGAAAATTTCTCTTTTCGTCTTTCATTTCTGACGTCGCACTTTCGGCCCATCACTATTCAACATAGTATAAATAGAGAGCGATTTGCGTAGAGACTTTTGCTTCCATCATATATAAAGTAAAGTAATTAAAAAGAAGACATTAATCTTATAATTATTCCACCGAATCAAACTATTTATAACGATAAGTAAGCATTTTCAATTTTGTTAAGTTTAAGCGTGTTTGCATGGCTAAAACAGCAGGAGAAAGAGCGAAGGTATATCGAGAGCGGATAAAAAAAGATAAAGTCAAACATGAACAAGTTAAGGCAAAAGCTCGTCAACGTAGTAATTCTATTCGTACGAAATTAACAGGTAAAGCATTAGAAAATTTTCGTGCTAATGCTAATTACCGTCAAAGAAAATGTCGTTTAAATAAACGTAAACGTTTAATTAAAAAATAAACCAGCATCTTCATTTCAAAATTGTCAATCTTTTGGTAAAGCTATGAAAAAAGTAACATCTGCTTTACCAAAATGTGATAAAAAAAAGAAAGCTGTTATTCAACGTCTAGCTCAAAAATATGATCTTGTTCCAAAACCTGTACATGTGCTCATATACTGATTAATAGAACAAACAGTAAAAATTAATCATACGCTACATCTGCTGATTGTATCGTGTTTTATTCTGGAAATTTCTGAAAATCCGTTTAAATCTTGATTGCAAACTTATTAATTTTTTCTTTCTTGCTAACTCAGCTTCTCAAATTGTTGATCTCTTTATTTCAGAAAAATGTCTAGTTTTCGTTGCTTGTTGCTTGTTGCTTGGTTTAAAGAATGGGGACAAGTTTTATACTCCGAAAGTGGTTTTTTTACCAGTGTGATATTAAATTCGTTTTGTCAAAGTCTAGACGCCATCGAGATAATTTCCACGTTCTTCAAAACCCAGATTTTTATGAAGACATATTTTATATTAGAAACATTTAAGCAAAATTTCATCTATATCACGAACTACTATGCCTATCACTGTACTGGTACTTTATTTATGAAAAGTATGCTTCGTTGAAATAAGCTCATGACAGCCATATTCGATAGTGTGTATAGTAGTATTATACATTATAACAGCAGGACCCTATCGGACACAATGGTGCAAAAACTAACAGTTAAGATTAAGGTAAGGTCCTAGCCCGATCATACGACAGTTTTCGACACAAAAAATTTTTTTACTGAACGTTCGAATTATCGACCCCTTATATATCTCTTTCTTACAAAAATGTGTGCCACGTCCTAATTGGAATAGTGTGTTCTTTCTAGTCAGATGGCGTCGTATATGTACAAATGTGAAATATCCCTTATTTGCTAAATCACGAGTTTTCTTAAACACTTCTAAATAATTGTATTCAAAATGACGACAAAATCTTTGATATTGTCCTAATTCCGATGATTTGTATATAGATCGACAGATCTCAGTGAGGTAGTAAATACCCTAAAAGGATTCGGGCCCATGACTGTTTAAGATCCGGTTTTCTGGAAAACCAGTTTTTCAGAAACTCTAAAAAATAACGAAAACCTTGTTTTAGTGAGATATGACTGTAGTCCGCAAATTTCTGATTAAAATGAGACATCCTACAGCTCTACATGACCTTTCTTTCCAAAGTTATAGAATTTACAAGAAAGCCCTAAATGTTCATTGTCAGCTCAAAGCTACAAAAATAAGAAATTAATTTAGGGCTTTTCTTGTAAATTCTATAACTTTGCAAAGAAAGGTCATGTAGAGCTGGGAGATGTCTCATTTTAATCAGAAAGTTGCGGGCTACAGTCATATCTCACTAAGACAAGGTTTTATTTATTTTTTTCTGAAAAACTGTTTTTTCAGAAAACCGGATCTTAAACAGTCATGGGCTCGAATCCTTTTAGGGTCTTTACTACCTCACTGAGGCCTATCGATCCATATACAAATCATTGAAATCGGAGGGGTTCAAATAGGAATGTTCCCTCGTCAGTAATGCTTGTCTGGCGGAAACTAAATGAATATCGTATTTCAACATCTTATTTTTTTCTTTTTCTCGTTGTTCGGCCTTGCTGACCTTCTTGTTTAACACGTGTAGCTGATAGTTCTTCTGCTTTTTGAACATTCATCATCCAGTTCCAAACGTCTGGATGAATTCCAATCAGAGCTGATCACCTGCATTTTAAACTGACTGAAAGTTGCAGTTTGCAGGTGAATGAAAATTCTTTCCACTGACGGCAGCTAAAAATGAATGTTTTCTTGTTTGCACTCCCTGCGGGGGAGAAAATTTTACTTGCATTCGCTGCAGGAAAAGACATTTTTGTGTAGAGAACAAAAAGAGAGAGGAGACCAAGAGAAATGCTGTTCACTCTGAAGATCAGAATGATCCCTTAAGGAAAAGAAACTACTAACAGTTTGTTTTGTACTAGGTCTGCTAGACATTTTAAAACGAAAGAGAGACGAAAAACTGAGAATAAAGAAAAACAATGAATCTCGTTGTACTTAACATGTATCTTTTATTATGCGTATTACGTATAGTCAAACAAGATGATAAAAGAGTATAATGATAACAGAAAGAGAAAAAGCTAGAACAAGAATAGTGAATTATAACTGGTGATAGAGTCTATAACTATCAGTGTTTAACAAGTGGGCCAGATTAAATGACGCATTTTTGCACTGCAGTTTTTTGTAACATGAACTTCGTTTAAAAATTTTGTTCTGGTGCGAGAATTTTTGGAGAATTTATAATAGAGAATTTTTTGCTCTACAAAACCTATTTCCCTCTTTCATTACATATTATTTTATTATTTTAAAAAATAGTGCAGAGTAAGGACAGAGAAAAAGTAAAACTGCGACGGAAGGAACAGGTTATAACAGGTTGTACTCGACCTAAACAGGTTGTACTCGACCTAATAGATTATTTAATAACGCTTCTGTTGGCTATTCATCACAGATACCTTGTGTAAAGAATTCATCTTCATTTAATTACTCCACATTGAGAAATAAAATTTTTCCTAATATTTTGCCATTAAGGACGGATGATCCTGACATGATGGAGTTATTCATGTACCTGTTTTTGTCTATATCTTGTATGATTCCAAGACTTCGCTCTGACTTCAAAAGATAGAAAATTTTCTGCTCTACAAAACCCTACAACACAGTTTCACTGCTTGTTTGCCCAGTTCTTTTCCTGCTTTTCTCAAAATCTCACATTGTCCAAAAGTGTAGATTAACTTGTGCACTAAAATCTTCACAATTTGTCCAAACGAACAAGCAGAGTAGTATGGATGATAGCCCTCAATCCACTGAACATTTTTAATTCAAAGGAAAGTTGTTTAAATAAAAGTTGTTAAATTGTTATTTTTAATTCAAACACACATAGCTGGATAGTTCGGAAGCGAGGGATCACGAATATGTCCTTTTTAACCTCTCTAGTCCACTTCTTCCTGCAGAAAATTTCAAAATATGGTGAGGTGCTCTTTTTTTTTGAAAAATCACAACTTTTCAGACAAAATGTAATATCTCTGTCCTCGAGAACTTTGGAAGGCCAACGAGGTAATATTCGGGATCAGCGTGAAAAACTGAATACAGAGTACTACCATTTACGATTCCAACCCTATACTGCGATTTTGGGCGAAATGTTTTATGAAAGGGTCTCAAACTGCGAGGAGGTCATCTTGCAAACCTATCTCATCCTTATAGTTAAAAGAAAGACCGGAATAATAACTGGGAGAACGTGAGCATTAACGTTCATTCTGAAGATATTTAACTGTAAGCCTTATAATCCGTGAAGGGTGGATGGTGCCTTACAGTGTAAGGTACCATCCACCCTTCACGGACTATGAGCACAGAAACAATCATATGTCACTAGATTAGCTGCCGATGTTCTTCTCATACCACGTTCTATATGATAACGTGTAACAGCTAGGCATGCACCGGTTAAAAACCGGTTGTTTTTTCTCTTTTCGCAGCAACTAAATTATACGAATACTATGGTATATTAAATTTTTCTCACAACTGAGTTTTGTAGAGCAAACATTTCTCTACAAAATGAGTTATAGGAGCAATCTTCATCTGGATCCAGCACTTATAAAAAGAATATTTAATAAGAGCCTATTTATGGGTTTCGGTAAAAATAAATCGGTATAAATGGGGATATAACGATTAATAATCGTTACGAACGGAACCCTTCGTAGCAGCGCAATTACAAGGAAAAGAGAAAAGATAGAAAGACTCCCCATAGCTCATTTTATAGAGAAATGTTTGCTCAACAAAACCAAGTTATGAGAAAAATTTAATATGCCATACTCTTCATACAATCTATTTTCGGGAAGAGCTAAAAATATCGGTTTTTAACCGGTGCATGCCTGCGCTACCAGCAAAAATTGAATGCTCTTTTACTCAAAAACTTTTATATTTGTTTAGGTATGATCTTGCTGGAACTGTGAACGGTACTGGAGCCCATTTTACAGCTACAATCAAAACATCCAAGGGCTACATTGATTTCGACGATCAGCGCGGGTTTTCCTCATACGGTGAAAAAGAGGAAGCGGAAACGGCTGTTTATACTAATAGAGGAACAGTCTTATAGTATAAATAGCAGCAGGATCTTTTTTTCTAATACGTGGTTTTCTTCGGACAGAAATTGCTACTCATTTTCCTCTAGAATTAATTTTTTTTGTTACGTATGAATTACTCAAACGTTTGCACAACTCAAACAGTTTCAAAACATTTCTGGCAAACTTGAGACAGTGTACAGGAATCAACTGCAATCTACTTATAGTCAATGGGCTGTGTGAATCGCTAGGCGAACACTATTTGCCTTCCTCATAAGATTCACTTGTCTTGATACCGTATACGACAGATTGATAAAACACTTACATCGACTGGCAAGTTGTCTGATGAGTTGATTTTTCGCTTTACAGTGAAAGTTCATTTGGCGCTTTAATGCAGCACATTTGACCATTATTTTATTGCACATTATTTATTTCCAGCACAATGCAATAAATAATGAAATTTTGGTACGAATGTGTCTTCGTATCTTGTTTCATATAAACATGTGAATTCACTAACAAGTTCTTCTAATTATTGGTAGCCAGCTTTTTCTCGGATAATCACTGTAAAGCATATCCCAAATTGCTCCAAAAATCTCGTACATAAACCAACAAGGTGTGCGTTGAACAATATCAGATAATATTAACGATAAATTGAGAAATAAATTATATTTTTCAATTGCAGTACTTGAATATAAAGCAAAAATAAATAAACCATCGATACAGATATTGCAAGAGGTAAATAAATGAGAAGTTTTCGACTCACTCATTAAGAACTCATGACAGATGATGACTTTCTCTCCTCCTATCTATCCAAAGCGCTGCGTCGAAGAATGCGTTTTTAAGGTCGTATTCAAACCTAGAATTTGTTCTTCTAATAAATCTTTCTCCTTTAAACGTGCTGAAAAATTTGCTCTATCATTAAGACCGAATTTAAATTTATTTGTTTTTTCACATAATTGCACTGTGGTTAATAAACGTACATTGACAATGGTTCGTAATAACGATGAGGTTAATTTCGGCATAACGCCTTCAATTACATCATGCATAAAGTCACGCGGTAACGATAATATCGGATGAAATGAAGGTAAAGCAGATAGCACTGATCTTTTATTTACACCATACAACCTTTTATCATCTGGTACTTTTCTAACATGATCAACTTGAATATCGTGAGATCCATCTGTGCGTATGGGAGTTTGTTTATCATCATAAATAGTTTCATATCTTTATGATCACTTAAACAGTATCTGCAGCATAATCCAGAATTAAAACAACAAGTAAATTTTCCTAATTCATGTGCTGCTAAATTATCTGCACAAACTATGCTAAGAGTAAAATATGTTTGAAGCGTATCGCTATATAACATAAAGCCCACAGTTTCGAGTGATCACTTAAAGTTTAAATCACTCGAAACTGTGGGCTTCATGTTATATAGCGATACGCTTCAAACATATTTTACTCTTAGCACAGTTTGTGCAGATAATTTAGGTTTTGTGTCCAAGCAATTAAGAATTTATTGTAGTTTTCAGTTCTTAGTACCGTGTTTGAATCGCGCGAGGAAAACTTCTGTGAAGATATAAATCATTTTTTTTCAGTGAAGTGATGAGCAAATAATACCGGCTCTTGACTTACACCGCCCACGTGTTGTCTTAACCATGGTACATTATGCTGATTAATTTGAATACCATCTATGAGCATAGAGCCGGCGGTGGATTTGTAAAGCTGTTGCGTAATTGGATACAAATACTTTTTCCTTTAAATCGAAAACTAGAAGACAAAAACTGAAATTCGAACGTAACTTTTTAGCATTTATGTAAAATAAGATTATGGTTTGACTTTACCTCATTTTTGCACCCGGCTTAAGTTTAGAAAGACAAATTCAACTTTTTTAAACTTACCACTGACTGTATTACCGCATAATGTCACTGTTTCACCACGTTTATCAGTAAAATTCAAACCATTCAATACTTTTACCAAAGATCTTAATGGATAAACGAAATGTATATTAACAAAGTGTACGTCACCGTTTAAATCTTTTTCGATTATAGGTAATTCAGAATTCTTTGTCATAGTTGTTGGCTAAAAACATTTGAGCGAACATATCTCACCTTTTCATTATTTAAGAATTAGGTTTAATTAGCAATATATTTCTGTATCTATTATTTCAGAAACTGTATATCCAACAACTTGAGCTAACTCTTTCAAACTGTTTTCCGCACCGTGCCAAAAGCCAAATGAGTAAGCACAAAATATAACTAATCCCAAAGGAAAACGATTTTTTGACAAAATATCTTTATACATTCATGCGGTCAAATTCCCTTCAATAGATACTAACTGACCCACTCCCTTTTGGGACATACAACCCCAAACTTCGAGGTTCCCTCCGCCGAGCGACCGTTGGTACTGTGCACACAGGAGAGAATACTTCGCCGGCAGCTCTCCAGACCGTTATTTTTCCATCAGATCGAAACAAATTAAAATTGGCTTCGTCTGACCATATAACAGTTTCCAAAATTTACTTTTCTTCGCCGAATAACTGTAACTGTAGCCGAGTCGTTTTAAAAGATGAGACTGTTTTGTCAGCGGTTTTTTTCTTACAACTTGTCCATAATATCCAGCCTCAATCAGTCTACGTCTAGTTGTTCTTTCCGAAATTGTGACTCCTAATTCGGTGGCTACTTCCTGTAGAATAACCTTGGAAGATTTCCCACGATCGGCGCCAATTTTTTTAGCAATTAATTCATCGGCTTCTTTTGATGTTTTTTGTTTTCTTCCACGGCCGCTCAATGTTTTAACAGTTTTTAATTTTTGGTATTTTTGCACAATCATTTGTACCGTTAACTTACCCACCAACATAATTCTCGCTATTTCAGCAAGAGTTTTTCCCAACAAACGATGTTTAATTATAAGTTCGCGGAAGTCCTCCGAAAATTCTTTAGTTTTTCACATGTTTATCTTTTACGCAAAGAAATATAACGTTAATTACTACTAGTAGAAGAAGCAAGAAGTGGTCAGTCTATATCTGATAGGACACAATACAGAACGAAATAAACGAACAGTTTGATCTAGAAGCATGCAGTTTTTTGACATTCCATCATAAAAAGTGTATTTTTTTCTTTTCTTTCTACGACAATAAATTGTCATTATAGTACTACATTGTCCAAAGTATCTTAAAGTGACTGTCCAAAAAAATTCACAATATGGGAAAGGAAAGTTTTGCTTTCATCTAAAAATAATATAGGAGTATTCGATGTTGATTCTCGTTTGGTGAATTTTTAATAAAAATTCCGAGCATCTGACATTAAAAATATATACAGGGTGTTACATAATGATTCCGGGGGGGCGGGCCGGGGGGGGGGGGGGGGGGGGGGGGGGGGGGGGGTTGGGGGGGGGGGGGGGTGGGGGGGGGGGGGGGGGGGGGGGGGGGGGG